AACGGGGGCTACTGTTTCGCTTTCCATTCTTAAAATATTTCTCAAGTGAGACTCTAGAGTCATGTTTAATAAAGCCTAGAGGTAGGTAAGCCTTTATTTATAATGATTTAGGGTTTGTCTTGGAACCATAAATTCATTAATGGTAGCGTTTCCCAGTGGGTTAAACCATTTTTGGAAAATCGAGAAAATGCAATTATTGCATTAAAAGACGAGCCGTTTTTTTTAAGAAGGGAAAGAGCAACCGTCGCATTAACTGCAAAAGTTTCTAAGGCCCAAGCCTAACAAGTTTACCGAGTTGACTAAACCCGAAGTGGGGAACTCGCGTTAAGCCGAGCTCAGCTCTCGCATTCTAAAGAGAAAGGTCTGATCAGCCTATAAAAATCTCGAAAGCATTGCCACAAGGCCACAAAAGGTTAAAAACGGACTTTGCAAACCCGCATATAATTTTAACCAAACTCCCTTGGGTCACAACCTAGAAAGGTTTAAAAGCCTCCTCAGGCAAATATCTTGTTCAAAAGAAAATAAAGCCTCCTTAGGCAAAAATAAATTCGAGATTAAGTCTTAAAATAAAAAGGGATAATCCCCAATTTAAAGTGGACACAGCCACTACGGAGCGATCTCCACCTCGGGCTCCTGCTCAGCAACCAGAGTTTCATTCACCTCCTTGACTGGTGCTTGATCAGATGAAGCTCCCTGACCACCCTCCGCGGGACAACCAACCTCCGGAGTAACCTCCGATACCACAGGAGCTACGGGCGGGACAATGCCCTCCGTCTCACTTGAACCTGGAAATAATAATTCCAGTCAATCAGAGGTACAAGGTAAGAAAAGGTAAGCCTTAGGAGCCAAGCGTTACCTGCCCAGTCTAAACCCGATTCACTTATTGGAGGTGATTCAGTAAAGAATGCCTCGAAGTCAAGCGGGTTGAAGGCCGAAGTGGGAAGAGCTGCCAAGCGACTCCGTTTTTCAGAAAGGTTAGTCGACAGCTCGGTCCTTTCTTGCTCTTCGGAGAAATCTGCTTCATGGATTTGATCCAGCAGAATCAGGTTACTTTCGTGCTCCTTGATGTCTGACTCCAAGTCCGACCTAGCCTTCTCAGTCTGCATGAATCGGATGGCCCCTTGGATCAACTCCATCCCGCGTCCCTTGACCTCTTTTCTGGCTTTTGATGCCGACCTCGCCAACTCGGAATCACGTAATTTGGCGATCGCCTTGTACTTTGCGTTGAGCTCGATGAGTTGGTTGTTCAGGGAATCAGCGTTTGATTCGGACTCTTGAAGCCTACCTTGAATACCAGAAAACTCTTCCTGGAGCTTGAAGTTCTGGTCGTACTGACCCTGCAGCTCCCCCTTTACCTGCGCGAGCTCGGATGTTAAATTATCGACTTTGTCCTCCAGCTCGTGCTTGGAGCCGGCAGAAGAACTGACTTCGGCCTCAAGAGCAGAGAGTTTCTTTTTCCACATGTCAATCTCCTTCTCCCGTCCAAGGACCAGCCCTTCGTAATGTTCGATCATGTCGTTAAATTCGCTATGAGCCTGGCGTCATACATGAACCCGGGATGACGAGTCAGTTCGCAGAATGGCAATACAATAAAAAAAATAATAATAAAAGAAAACGGAACTAACCCGAGATGAGTGATGCGCGTGAAGCAAATAACGTTCACGAATCGCAGGGCACCATTTGTCGAAGTCTGGCAAGATCGAGCCCGACCGGGTCTTGAAGCATCGGAAGACGCTGCCCTCTTTCTCCATAGCTGTGGAGAAGGAAGAGTTGTAAAAAATTGGAATTTTAATAAAGACAAAAGTTTAAAGTACGTGTAAATCACCAAACCTGAAAGCGATTTAACTTGAGGGACAAGAGCAGGCTTCAGCCTCGAGGGAGCATCTCGAGATTCAGAATCCCCCTTTTTCGGAGACGCGCTCCGGGCAGTCATTCCACTATCCGGCTGGGAAGAGGAGGACATGTCAACCGGTCGTGGAGACCCATTGGTTCAGAAGGAGGGGATGACCGAGGTGAGCGGTCAGTCCGGGCCCTTGACTTTTCCCTCTGCGGGGAAGGATCTCTGCGAGAGGACTTGTCTCTCTTCCGGCGAACCAAGTTCTTAATTGGCTCGTTACTAAAATCATCTCGGGGAGGACGAGGTGAATCATGGCGAGGAGATTGATCCCTCCGAGGAGAACGTGAGTCACGGCGATCGCGACGGGGAGTTAGTCTGAAGGAAGCAACAGATCGGGCTCCCTCGGTACTGCCATCATCGACCAGCAAGGTCCTACTATAGTCCTTCTTGTCTATAGAAGTCGCGAGAAACTTTTTCTTCTCCTCGCAAGCCTCAGCCATCGGCTTGGAAAGCAACTTACGCTTGGCCGCAAGGGCCCGAGATGACATTCCCTGAGTTGAGGGAGGGGGAGGAATTTGGTGAAGATGACCAGGCGGACTCATCCTGAGTCTGTGGTTAGCCTCTATGAATCGTTCGAGAGTGAAGGAATTCCAAAGGGTTTCCCCTTCAAGAATTATTTTGAAGAATTCGATGAACTCTTCAGATGGGAGATTGGAAGCGATGAAAGCTGCGAAATGAAACAACGATGTTAGTTAATAAAGATAAAGAAACAACCGGGAAAGATACGGGCGACCTAATCTCTACCAGGTTTCGCCGACCACTTTGAAAGGAGGAAATCTGCAAGATTTCCAATCGAAGCGGGAGTTTTCTTAATCAAGAACCAAGGATGATGCCAATTTTCATCCTTGTTTGGAAGATGCGAAATGATGTTCCTGTTGGCGTTAGGATATGCTGAGAAATACCCCGTTTTCTTCGACGAGCTTCTCACGCTTAGAAGCTCATTTAATTCGGCAACTCCGATAACGTAACCGGCCTCCGCCGCGATTGTTATAATGCCGAGAATAGTACGAAGAAGATTGGGGGTTAATTGAGGAAGAGCGATTTCAAGGGCCGCTAGGTATAAAATTAGGGCTTCGGGAAGAGGAAAGGTCAGCCCGCAACCTTTGAAATAAATCTCATACACACAGAAGTAACCATCGCGATGGTTCTCTGGAGATTCTGTGGGGGAAGCTATTTGTGCTTCCGCCATAATTTCCGGCGGAATCCGGCAAAGCTCTCTCAATCGCTCGAGGGATTGAAGAGTACAAATGGACCTATAGTGCGGACCGGCAATATCACCAGGGCGGGTGCACTCGTCGTTACTAGAACGCCTCTCGTCGAAAGACGGAGACTCGGGTCTATCGGAATCAGAATTCATTGGGAAGAAAGAAAAATTCAAGATCCGGTGAAGAGGGGTTTTGGTGAAGGAACGAAGAGAGAGGTTTTGATTAAAGTACAAAAGTAAAGGAGAGTAATGGTGAAAAGAAGTTACCTCAAGCTAATGATGAAACCGCCTTGGAAGTCGTGTGGGAAGTGGGAAGGTTTTTCCCGTTTTAATAGTAATTAATCAATATACGGTCATAATGATGACAGATGTCACTCGGTTAAAAATGGTTAGTGCCGAAATTAAAGGAGTGATGAGATTTTCGGCGGAAAATCAGAAAGATTCTCGAGCGCAATCTTTGGCCACTTGAGCATTTAAAGTCCTCCGAATTGGAATAGCACTTCGAAGAACTTGGGGGGCTAATTGTTGGTGTCGGATCCCGTACCAGAAGTACGAGACCAACCAAAGATTGCCACGTAGTCAAGCGGGTGGCCCATAAAAGATGAAGCCCATTGGGCCCATGAACCGAGGGGACGGTCGAAGTGGTTGTCACCACTTCGAGAGTCCGAAGTGACTGCACTGAGATGTGAGTTCGGTGTAGAAGACGCGGGTAGGTCGGTTCAAGGACACTTGGGCCAAAAAGGCGAGGCCCATGAAAATCAGAGTCAACTCAAATTCAAACGTTGAGCATTAAAGTCGAAGAATCAAAACGGACACATTTAAGAAGGAATAATTGTACTTAATTATCCATTTTAATGTCGCTTATCTATGTATAAATATAGAGGCCAATGGCCATGTAAAGGGGATCTTCCTCCGAAGAGAGAAATAAGATAGCAATTCTCGTATCAATTCACAAGTTCTTACGTATTCATTTTTGTCCCTCAAGAATAATCTTTCCCACTTAACAAAATACTTGAGTGTGTGAATCCGACATCCACAACAAGCAGTTCAACCACATATGGCACTTGATTAGGTAGGAGAGGAATAAGTTGCAGGGTATGAAGCTGCTCCTTCTCAAGAATACTTCAACACAGAAGAAGAGGACATGCTGGTTTGTGGTGAATGGCTTCCCAAAAAACTACTCGATGAGAGAACATGCTCTCAACACTGGTTTTGATTGTCATGAGTATGCTGCAGATTTTAATGTTGAGAATTATGGTAGCTATGAGTTTGTGGAGAGGGTCTTTGGAACCAGAAATGTAAAGGTGAAAGATGTGGAAAAGATGCTGAAGTCAATGGATGGTATATGTGGTATAGATCGCTTGCAGGTGGTTGTCTTACTTTTCTTAAGCAAGGTAATCAGAGGAAGAAGAAAGTTTAATACCATACATCATTTCATTTTGAAGATAGTGAACAACTTGAAAGATGTAGAAACCTTTCCTTGGGGGCGAATTACTTTTGAAAACAATTTGAATACGATCGAGTACATAATGAAGCATTTAGATGGCGAAGTGCACGAAGACTATTTATTTCCATGGTTCATAATTCATCTAGAGGTAAAAATGTAGCTTCATTAATAAGTGTTTATCTGTTTTGAATAAATAAAGATATTTGATATGTGATATGTGATATTATGTATAGGTTTTTGCATTTGAATGCATTCCCGTAAGAGGTGTAAGAGGCGCAAAAGATGGATGTCCACTAATGTGTAAGCGTAAATTCAAAGAAAATGGAATGTCAAGTATTCCACTTGAAGAACTAACTGAAGAATTTGGAACAAGTAAGGTAAGAACTAGTGTCAATTATGCTTTACTAAAAGATAGACACTATGGTATTATTTGTGTTGTATAATCTTTGCAGGACATCATTAGTACCTTGCAACCATCGGCGGGTGAGGAAGCTCTTTTGCTTGACATTATGGAGCAAGCTGATGCATGGAACAAGCGTCTCGATGTACAACAGAAAGATTTGGTGGGAGGATATTTATAAGTTAGATGTTACTTCTGAGGATATGGAGACGTAAATGTTCCAGCTGCTGAACATATGGAGGAGCCGCAACAAAATGTTCCAGCGGCTGAACATATGGAGGAGGAGCCGGAGCTGTTAGACCTTATATGCTAAAGAAAATGGTGAAAACAGCGGTTGCAGATGCGATGAATGATGTGTATCTAAGATTGGAGAAGCTTGAAAGGGCTGCTGAAGCAAGCAAAGCAAAAGGAAAAGATGGAGAAGAAGAAGAAACAGGTGAGAAGATAGATGATGTGAGTATTGATTGGGAGACCATGGGTGGTGGTGATTATAGAGGTGATGGTGAGACTGTTTTTGTTGGTAAGGATTTGAGTACTGGTGATGAGCCGGCTGGTTTTGAGAAGAGTGTTGAAGAGAATTTGAGGATTGATGATGAGCCGGTTGTTGGAGGTGGGCAGATAGATGGTAAAGAGAATGAGTATGGTTTTGAGGGATCCGGTTTGGAGAAGATGATTGATGAGAATGAATCTGGTTTTGAGGGATCTGATCTTCAGAACATTGTTGATGATTCAATTTGGTTTATAGAAGGGTGGTAATGATAATATGTTGGGGAAAAGAAACGGAATAGGAGGACGATCGAATATGTGTTTGAAGAAGAAATGTGATTTCTCGCCGAAAAGGAGACTGAAGCCATCAATTCATGTCACCAAACCTTACATGGATGAAAAGGGGAAGAAGGAAAAGAAGAAGAAGAAGGAGAAGGAGAAGGAGAAGGAAAAGGAGAAGGAGAAGGAGAAGGAGAAAGCGAGGGAGCATGAGCAAGAGAAGGAAAATGAGAAGGAGAAGGAGAAGGAGAAGAAAAAGGAGAAGAAGATTTGGTGGTTGGGTTATTAGATACAATTGTCAATTGTGTTCGGTTTGTCTTTTGGTTTCTTAGGTTGATGTATAAGGATGTGTTTTTGAATTGGGGTTTTTAATAGATTTGAATGTGTGTTGGGGTCGGGTTTCACCCATCTTTTGAACCCGAGCCAAACTTCACGCGTCGAATCAACTTCATATACACTTCGGTGTACCTCGCCAAGTCTGGTTGGGGCACCCTGTCCGACGGCTCGGGTATCCCATCAGTCGGCTCAGGGTATCCTGACAGGCCTTAGGGTACCCAAACCAGTCATCTCGGGTACCCGAGCCCATCACCGCGGTGTACCCGAGCTCATCACCTCGGGGCACACGAGCTCATCACCTCGGGGCGCACGAGCTCATCACCTCGGGGCGCACGAGCCAATCAACTCGGGGTACCCAAACCGGTCTTTTCAGGTACCTGAGCCCATCAACGTCAATCTGGCCCAAGCCAGATACACTAGGCAGTCTCTTAGCTACCCGAGGCGAGGTCGTCTGTCACCCGAGGCAGTTGTGTGGTCATTCAAGCCAAGTACACCAAGTTACCCGAGGCAAGGACTTAGTAAATATCCACCTTCAAAAGTATCATTTCTAAGCATGACATCATTTCCGAAAGAGAAGAATCATTTCCGAAATACTCGGAAATGATAGGAGAGAATCTTGAAGGATTGACTCAAATCAAGAAATCTTCCAAAAACTCCGAAGAATAAGGAAAGTATCCTAATCCGCGATATTCTACGCCGACTTCAAGATAAATGGAAATCTTCCGAATATCGCTGGAGAGACGGTTTATCATCCCTATATAAAGAGACTCAGGGCTCTCACAGAAGGGACAAGCAATAGCGCTCTAGAATTTAGACTACACAAAGCTCTTAAGCAAAATCACTTTTCTTTTTACGATCTAACTCTTGTACGATCAAAGTCATCTTTTTCTTAATAATATCAAGAATACCATCTTTGGTATCAGTTGATTCTATTGTTCTTTGACAATTCTCGCAACTCGTATCCCTAAATTAAAACCCTAGACAAATCTCGATTGTGTTAGTTTTGACTTCCACAGTTTGGCGCCGTCTGTGGGGATACTTTAGAATTCTCTTACCCTAAGAACGCAGAACTCAATCACCGAAGAAGACGATGAATGAAGACGATCGTCAGATACCACCAGCCGGAGGAGGTAACCCTAACCTTCCGAACCCTCAGAATCCCCAAGCCGATCCAGCAATCTCGGAGACCCTAGCTGAACTGAAGGATATGATGGTTCAACTCCAGAAGAAAGCTGACGATCAAGAGAAAGCTAACAAGACCTTGGCGCAGCAAATCGACGAAGTCGCATCCCGTGGGCAACACAAAACCACGCGTTTTCAAACTCGGCCGCTATGAGCCTGGAGGCATTTACCTGGCATCAGCACAACAAGACTCCTGTTCGCAACGCCAACCGACAACCCCAGAGTCACAACCCGAGCCGACCCTGATCGACGTGAGAATCAGGTGACGAGGAAACCGAGGAAAACATAAGATGGGCCGAAGAGTCCAAAAGAGAGCGCGAGCTCGGCGAAATTCGAGCTTCCCTAGCCAAAGCGGAAGCCGATATGAAGCTCGTCAAGTCCCAGATGCATAGCGTATCCTCCTCGGCACCTAATATCGACCAAATCTTGGAAGAATCTCGCAATACACCTTTCACCGAAAGAATTTCCGAAGCAACGATTTCCAATCTGGGAAAGTTCAAGATCGACTCCTACAACGGGACAACCGACCCAAAGGGTTATATTAAATCATTCGTGATATCTGTGGCCCGAGCCAGGTTCAAACCCGGAGAAAAGGATGCTGGTCTGTGCTTACTGTTCGTGGAACACCTCAAGGGACCTGCATTGGATTGGTTTTCCAGACTAGATCGAAATTCAATTGATAGTTTCGACGAGCTGTCAACACTCTTCTTCAAGCAATACTCTGTGCTCATCGACCCCGAAACTTCTGACGCAGATCTGTGGTCTCTATCTGAACAGCCCAACGAGCTGTTAAGAGATTTCCTCACGACTTTCAAATCAACGCTAGCCACGTAGCCGCCCTTTTGGCTTTGAAGAAAGCTCTCTGGTACAAGTCGGAATTCAGAAAAGAGCTGAAGTTATCCAAACCTACGATAATTCGCGGTGCACTGCACCGAGCCTCGGATTTCGTCGTCCATGAAGAAGAAATGGCACTGCTACCAAAGAGGCACGAGCCAAGAAAGCAAGCGTCCCAAGCCGAGAAGACTCAAACAGCACCACCGGTCCAGAGGAAGGCTAACCAGAGCTGGACATATACATATCACGAAGGACGCAATTTTTCGGGAGCCCACAACTACCAGATTGACGCACCCCGAGGCCGAGGTCGCGGCAGAGGCCGAGGTCGTGGGCGAGGAAGAGACACTTTCACTTGGACGAGTGATCAACCACCAAGCAATGATCAAGAGTACTGCGAGCACCACAAAATCTTCGGCCACCATACCTCACGATGCCGGAGCCTCAGCGCTAAGTTAGAAGCCAAATTCTTGGCAGGAGAACTCGGGACGAACGTCACACTCAAGGACCTCGAGCCTGAGCCAGTTAAGCCCGAACAGACCGACCCAGTAAGGGACCCCGAGCCAAGGAACCAAGAGTCTCAGAAGAGAACCCGAGGAACGCAAGACGAAGACCGAGATGGTACATGGAAAAAAGTCCTCACCATAATGGGTGGGTCGCCATATTGTCCTAACATCGTAGCGTATCAACGCCGAGCCGAGGCACCTAGCAACTGGTCAAGACCTTTCGACCGACCTAACGACATGGTCACATTCGAGGAAAGTGAGACGAACGGGCTCGACATGCCTCACAACGATCCCCTCGTCATCACATTAGTGATTGGAGACCACGACGTATGTCGAGTATTGATCGACACCGGCAGCACCATCGACGTGATCTTCCGCGAAACACTCCGGTAGATGAACATTGATATGTCGCAAGTAACTTCGACACCGAGGCCTGACCTCGGATTTTCAGGAGAAACTTTGATGACGCTTGGAACTATTCAACTACCAGTCCGAGCCGGCGGGGTGAAAAAGATAGTCAACTTCTCAGTTACCGATCAACCTACCATCTATAATGTCATAATGGGGACGCCATGGTTAAATCTGATGCGAGCTGTCGCTTCAACGTATCATCTTTGTGTCAAATTCCGGACTCCCAATGGCGTAAAAACAATCTGGGGGAATCAGAAAAATTCACGGATGTGTTTTATGGCAGCGCACAAACTCCGAAATCCGGTCACTGAAGCCAAGGCCGTAGCCGACCACAAGAAATCAAAACTTGGCCGGAGCGAAGAGAAGGCTATATCTAAGCAGTTATAGCAATTACAGATCGATGAGGCACGCGAGGAGAAGAAGCCTACCTTGGATCCTGTTATATCCATCAGCCTCTACGACAAACGACCTGAACGATGCGGGAAAATCGGCTGCAACTTAACCGAGGAGATCAAAGCCGAGCTCACCTTATTTCTCAAGGCGAACATCAATACTTTCGCCTAGTCGGCAGAGGACCTACCTGGAGCAAGCATCGACATAATCTGCCACGAGCTGAATGTTGATCCATCTTTCAAGCCCATCAAGCAGAAGCGAAGGAAATTAGGCTGGGACCGCGCCTATGCTGTGAACGCCGAAGTGGAAAAACTCTTAAAGATCGGCTCAATCTCCGAAGCAAGATACCCAGACTAGTTGGCGAATCCTATCGTGGTGAAAAAGAAGAACGGTAAGTGGAGAGTTTGCGTTGACTTCACCGATCTGAACAAAGCCTGCCCTAAAGATAGTTTTCCGCTCCCACATATCGATCACTTAGTGGAAGCAACTGCGGGGAACAAACTGCTATCGTTCATGGACGCTTTCGCAGGATACAACCAAATCCTCATGCACCCCGAAGATCGCGAGAAGACAGCATTTATCACAGACCGAGGTATCTACTGCTACAAAGTCATGCCCTTCGGACTCAAGGACGTCGGCGCGACATACCAACGGCTCGTCAAAAGGATTTTCTCCGAGCAGCTCGGGAAAACGATGAAAGTTTACATCTATGACATGCTAGTCAAATCCCTCGAAGAAAACGACCACGTAGCCCATT